ATGGCAAATTTAATTGCATTCCATAGCTTATTACAAAATCGTCGATAACCTTCGATACGTAAGACATCTAGGTTAATATCTCGTCCTTGATTTGCATAAGCACAAAATGCAAATCTTAATGCATCTGCACCACATTCAGGAATACCTTCAAAATAAAATCAAAAATCTTTCAGAAATCGATTAATCAGATAAAGATGTTTTATGTTACCCTTTGGATAATCTTCTATTTGTCCTTGTTTTGCTCGTTCATATTCTCTTGGATCTAAATTCGATGTTCTCAATTGTTCATTTAATTCTTCTAATGATGCACCATTAATAACATCTAATGGATCAATAACATTTCCCAATGTTTTTGACATTTTTCGTCCATGTGCATCACGTATAATTGCATGTAAATAAATTTCTTTAAATGGTAATTGATCTGTTAATTCTAATGAGAACATCACCATACGTGCAACCCAAAAAAATAAAATATCATGACCTGTTTCTAACAATGTTGTGGGAAAAAAACGTTTATAATCATCGGTTTCTAATGGCCAACCAAATGATGAAAATGGAAATAAACCAGATGAAAACCATGTATCAAGAACATCTTCATCTACAATAAAAATAATCAAAAAATCAGTCAGGTCTAGTTTAAGTCTAACTGTTAACATCACTGATAAATTTGAATCAATAAAGATTTGTGGTCCATGTCTGCCAAAGGCTATAAACTAATTACCTTGTGTCAATTGTATTTTTGTTTTGTCGACATTAAATTGTTTGGATGCTTTTTCCAATGCTTCTTCGTAGCTGTGCGCACTAATCCAATATTTATCATCCGTGTCTTGTCCCGGTTCAATATCTTTGGATGTGACAAAATAAGCCGGTATTCGATGTCCCCACCATAACTGTCGTGATATACACCAATCTCGAATATCTTCTAACCATTTATACCATACTGGTTCAAACATCGATGGTATTATTTTTAATTCTTTATTTCGTACAGCATCGATTGAACGTTTAGCCATTATTTTACAATTACAATACCATTGCGGTTTGAGTAATGGTTCGATAATATCTTTTGATCGACTACAAATGGGTATCATCATTTCGTTATCTTTACAATCACGATATAAATTAAGTTGTTTTAAATCTTCTAATAATTGACGACGAACATCAAAACGTTTTAGACCACTGTATTTACCACAATTCGAAGACATTAAACCATCATCTTCAATACACGTGATAAATTCTAATTTATTTCGTTTACCACATTCATAATCGTTTGGATCATGAGCTGGTGTTACTTTGACAGCGCCTGAGAGAAAAAAAAGAAAAACAATATGATCTCTTTCATAACACTAGACTTTGATTCAACACTTTTACTAAAGTAGCGACAGTATGTAATCAATCTAGAATGCACACATGTACATGGCTGTTGTTTTTTAACCTACCAGAACCAAAATTCATATCAACCATCTCATCACATATAATTGGCAAACGTCTATTTAAAAATGGATGTTTAACATATTTTCCATATAAATGTTTGTAACGTTCATCATTTGGATGTACAACAACGGCTGTATCACCTAACATTGTTTCGAGACGAGTTGTTGCAACAATAATTTGTTCATCTAAGAAATTAAATAATAAAAATTTTCATTATACAATAAATATAATGTACATGAAAAAACGAATTTACCTGAATTTTCAACAGGATAGGCAAAATAAACAAGAACACCAAATTCAACTGGTTCATCATAACCGGGTACACGGATTAACGTTCGACCTTTCAGTTCTGTTTTTTCTACCTAAACAAAATCATCATGCATATATTTAGATAGAAAAAAACCATATTATTATATTACTTCAATATCGGATATAGCTGATTTTAATGTACACGACCAATTAACTAATCTTGTACTTCTATATATTAATTTTTTCTCATGCATTCTAATAAATGCTTCTTCGACAGCATAACACAATGTTTTATCCATTGTAAATACTTTTCGATTCCAATCACATGATGCTCCCAATACTTTTATTTGTTCATATATATGATCACCTTTATCCGTTTTCCATTTCCATACTTCATCTAAAAACTTTTCACGTCCTAAATTGTGACGTGATAATTTTTTTTCACGCATCAATTTTTTTTCAACAACCACCTGTGTTGCTATACCAGCATGATCACAACCGGGTACCCATAAAACATGTTTTCCTAACATTCGATGCCATCTCGTTAATGTATCTTCAATGGTACACATAATTGCATGTCCAAGATGAAGATAACCGGTGACATTTGGTGGAGGAATAACCATAATAAATTTATTTGTTGTTCGTTTATCATGTGCTGGTGGAGGATGTTCATCATAATACTCAGGTCGAAAATAACCTTGCTTTTCCCACCATTCATACCAGGCAGCTTCAACATATTTAGGACTATATGAATTTGGGAAGGGACAATGAATGTCTGAAAAATAGGAATATTATAATGAATACTAAAAGCGTTAAGATAAAATCAAACCTTTTTTGTCTCCAGGAGCTGTTTGTGATTCATACTGAGTGATATCTCGAGTCGATAATGGTTTCTTTTTCGGTTCTTTTTCTTTTTTCTGAAATGTATTTGAAAAACAATACTTTTGCACAATAAAAATAAAATATCGTGTATTACCTGTTGTTCTATTTCAGCTAATTTTCCCTTTTTTGCTGCTAGTTTATCTAACTTTTTTTGTTTTTCAGCTTCTTTTTCTAATTGTTTCGGTGTTTTCTGTGGTGGTACATTTTCACTGTTTGCATCATTCGGACTCTTGTTTTCGTCAGACGCAGGTGAAGATCCGTCATTCGACATCTGAAAAAGGGAAGGAGTCGACAAAATACATATAATAACAATATATGAAGAAAACTGTTCGATGAAGCCTGAAAAAAGAAACAATAATATTCAAGTTTCCCCAATTGATTACGAAAGTGTTTGTATAGTCTTTCCTTAGAATCTAAAAGTTTCCTGAAATTCAATAGAGAATTACTCAACATAGTAATGGTTAGTTCTGAAAATTTCCTGGATTGTTATCTGTTCAATTTTTTGCTGTAGAATCTAAATATTTCTGATTTGAAAAGAATATATCTCCTGTTTAGAAAACATTTTGTTTACTTATCTTTAAAATCGTTCAATGTTATTATAAGAAGTTTATTAGGTTTTATACAACCTGAAAATATATCTAGTCTTCATGAAATCAAAATTCATTGCTTGGCGTCTTGTCCCACCTAACTGGGAAATAAGACATAAATACACACATTTATTTTTATTTATAGGGCAAATTTAACGTATTGCATCAGACAAAACTCAAAGTAATTTGTCATTAAATAATATAAAAAATAATGGCATCATTCTTTTAGACTGAAAAAATGAGCCATAATGAGAACAGCTGGAAGAAAAAAGTCATCAGAAGATTTCTTATCCCATCATAGCTCTCGTGTCATGCCAGAACAAAGCGTTTTTTTTAGTTTAAACAATCAAGTAATAGCACCATTTACTCCTAGGACCTCTTTAATATCCATTTAAGTTTCGCAAAACTTGGTCCTTTAGCAATTCATTTCATACATGATTTTCAAAAGGATGTTAGCTTTTAAAAAATAATTCTATTTTAATGCAAGTTAATTTATCTTATTAATCCTATTTCTCAAACTGGAAAAGCTTAATGAGTATGAAACTAGAAGACATACTTTGATGGCGTTACTTCCTTATACAAAAACTTTTTTTATTAGTTCTGATTTGTTAATTCATCATTACTCCTCCAATATTATCACATAAGCATAATTTTTTAGAACTAACGAGTGATATAATGTTAGATTCATCTTTCAACCGATTAAGATACGTTGAAACTAAATGCTAAGACTTAGTTTACTCTTAGCTTATTCTTTTATTTCGTTGGTTGAGACTATGAGTAGTAAGGTATGAAATATTATCAAGTTGTATTTATATTTAATAACTAAATAAATTACTTAAAGTAATATACTGGACGGGCTTTGGACTTAAAATTCAACAGGTTCGATTTGAGTACGAACGGCATAGAGGTTTTATGACAGAATTTAATTGGTGGATACAGCCAAGTGACGTTTCAGTGCATCTGCTATGGTGACGTTGATGCACTTCAACAACAAAAGATGCGCCAGAAATTCATTCTGTGAAATTCTCAAATTCAATTAGAAAACCTGAAAGTTACTATTTGTAAAAGTCGAATTTTTCTGATGGATCGCGGTTACCGAGATATTCCGCGAGGACGGTAACCGCGATCCATCAGAAAAATTCGACTTTTCACAAATAAAAACTTTCAGGTTTTGTGATTGAATTGGAGAATTTCATCCAATGAGTTTGTAGCGCATCTTTTTGTTGTTGAAGTACATCAGCGTCACTATAGCAGATACACTGAAACGTCAGATCACAGACCACAAGATGAAACTCTATCTACTCCTGGTTAAAATCTGAATCTTTCAAGTAAGAAGCCAATAGGAAAGTGTACTGTTTGATTCTACCCTTTTTAGTACGGACCACAAAGTCATGACCTGTGCTTACGAGCCAATGAGTCATTGTAATTTGGAAGCGTACCACTAATGCCTATATTCTCTGTATAAGTTACACGACAGACATATCTGTTGTGTATTGTTGTTATTTTCATTTAAAACGAGAGAAACCCTAGATAAGATGCTAGCATAACGTAGTTCAACATGTATTCCAGTATGAATTTAAGACTAAAACTAGTTTATTGACGAAAAGTGAGAATCATCAAAGGTCCCCGACCTTTGGTATCAATGGGCCGAGCCAAATTAGCAAAATGAAAGAAAAAAAAGAAAAAAAAAGGAAAAAAAATTATAGTGTATAACGTAAAAATAAAGTAACAATGAAATAAACACAAATAAAATAGCATTAGAGAGAACAACTAACACCAGTTTAATATGACTGGGAACATGGCTGAATTTTTTACTGTAAGATATACTGAGCTAGTGCCTTTTTGAAAAACTGTACAAGTCGAAAAAATTTACGACGAAGTGAGAGATTCGGAAGACAAAGTTGTGACACAAGTAAAGAGCTTTTAAAGAGAATTTACAATCACAACAGAAAGCAAACAGGTATAAATGACTTCGAATTATATCTAACAAAAAATTCATGTTTATAACACAACAGTAAAAATATCGTACCCACACTCGTAAACTTTGTACCCATCATCAATTGTCGAACTGAATACGTGCCGCTTTGTACATCTGCATCAACTGCCGTTTTCTGTTCGAAAATGAACATTTTATGGTGTTTTGTTTAGCAGAAACGCTCAATTTACTGGAAAATTATTAGCGGTAGTAATCGACTTTCAGATACTTTTGTCAAAATTATGAAGATGGATCAAACGAGACTTTATCCGGAAATGTACAACCAGTCTGGTGTAAACTTTCGTATGCACAATATGCACCCGCTCTTACACATTCATCAGGCGCTTTTTCCAATGATAAATACGCCAGAAAACCTAAAATAAATACAACCTTTCACTATAGATATAGATACCATCGCAGTATGTGAATGGTGCAACTACGGAAAAAGACATTGGATGATGGTCCAATGCGATCTTAATGTTGATGCACTGCAAAAGTTTTTTCAGGTCGCAACTTTTTCGCTTAAAAGCTCTGAACAATTTTATTCCGAAAAAGGTGACATGATGCGAGATACATATTCAGACTAATGCATCATGTGTTTAGTTTTGTATGTAATAATCAAAAAGATTTTCTACCCAAGCACAAAATGTTCGATTCATATAGAACCATCGATTTTTCTAGCTCTAAGAGGAATGACTTAAAGTCTAAATATCTTAGTTGCATCGTTATACAAGACTAGAGATGCAAATGAGAATATTTTTTTCTCTCATTCTCACCTCCCACAAATGCATCACCACATCCGTTTGTATCGACAATTTTTAGCGGCTTTTTTACATTAAATTGTTTAATTTCATCTTCTATAATATAACAGATAAATTTATGTAAATTTTTGAGTTTTATAAAAGTAATTCAATAACTAACTTGTAGCTAATAAAATTGGATTAACACCTCTTGTTATAATGACCGTTCCACCCTCCTTTTTTGTCAATAACTCTTGTAATGATTTGACAATAATATCCAAAGGTTTATCCGTCTACAATATTAAAAGCCGTCATTGATCTGTTGTTATATATAGTTATAAATTACAATATGTACCATTTTCATATGAAATTGTGCAAAACATCTTACTTCCTTTGAAAACATAAAAAAACAAAAATGATTGTAGAATAAAGGTATACAAAAAAGAGGAGTACCAGCGAATAAACAGTCAACTATCAATCATCTAACTAATTCACCTCTTCATTTCCAAATAAATAATCGATATAAGGTATGAAATTTAGTAACAAATGTCCAAAATTTTCACAGATATATTCTGCTGATAAATTAATAGCCATTATTTTATTTGTCTTATGAGCATGTTCACACAGATACATAAATACTTCAGGAAATGTAACGAGAAAAAAACCCTAAATAATAAACTTATGTTAGAATTGTATCGTTAGAGATTTCAAATTGAATAACTCACTGGTACATAAAATATTTTTGCCTTTTCAATATAATGATAACTCTGTGAATTATTTAAATATTCAATGGTAAAATGATTTGCAGCTCCATGATTAGTTACCATTGATCTAAGTTAGTAACCAATTAAGTTATAGAAAGAGTGATGTTTTTAATTATAGTTTTACCTTGCATTATCTGTTATTAATACAAGACATGTTCCGGTGTTTGAAGTCGATGTTTCTTCATAAAATATGGTAATATTTTCTTTAGTAGCTTGCTCTTTTAAGATTTTTCCAAAATTATCATTTCCAATACAACCGATATATGTAGTGACATTTGGCTGTTGAAGAAACCACTAGAAATGTGTGATGGATATAATTAGAATTGTATACATCTATTTTTATTTACTTACAGTTATTGTTCTCAATGTATTATGTGTGGAACCACCAGCTGAATATTTTAACTTGTGTGTACCATTGTTAAATTCTTTAAATCTAACAACATAACCAACGTTTTTATTCGATTTTATTTTCTTCTAATACACTTACAATTGGTTATACTCTGGTACATCACGTGATAGAACAACATTATTCGGTTTTAAATTATATCTGAAAACTAATTAGAAAAAATAGACAAAACCAACTCTGAATATCGTCAAGTTTACATTACCTCTTCAGAAAATCAAGTGAAACTTCTGCAGTAATATCAAGTAACGGATGGCCAATACCAAAAAATGTACCGCTACTATTAAATAACAGAAAATCACAAACAGATTATGAATAACAGTATTAAAATTTATCTTTTTACCCTAAATCGAACTTGGACATGGTAATTTAAATGTATATCCGTTATGTTGTATGATTTTCTTTGTCTGAAATCCGTTTCTTTTTCGCTAACAGCACTGTCCTCTTGTTTTATGTTAGTTATAGATTATCACTAAAATATTATCTAAAATTATATGAAATCATTTTAGCATTTTTCGGATCATGTTCATTGTTTAGGTAATACAACAAGTCTTAAAACAATACACTGCGTTTTTTTCATTCATATAGTACTCTACTGACATATTTTGTACTCTAATCAGAGTTGCCAGATGCTGAGGTCATAAAAGCGGCATTTTCCACCAAACGCAAAGGATATCAAAGCAAACTTTTCTAGTGTTTTATGGCAGTTCCACTTAAGAAACAGAAAAGAAGTACAAAACATCATTTAAATTCCAATTTGAATCGATATTGGCTTTTTGTAAATGCGCATTTTTGATCAACCGTCATAAATTTCAAGAGTTATGTATGGCAGGATAAAACTTAATCCGAAAGTTTCCCACCTACGACAGTACTTAACGATTAAGGTGTTTTATAAAAGTTGCAAAAACATTGTTTTGACATGTCATTCAGCCGACGAAGGCGGCAAGTTTTTTATGAGAAAATGTAAAAATCTTCATTGTAGGGAAAAGAACAAAAACAAAAAGTCCTCGAAAAGCGGATAAATTGCGGACAGCGGACACTTTGCAGGAAAAACTAGAGAAAGCGGAATTTGTCCGCAAAATGCGGACCATCTGGCAACTCTGACTCTAATACATACCTTTCGTTCTTTTTGTTTTTTAGGTTAGAAAATAAGTCTTAAAACAATACATTCCGTTCTTTTCATTCATACAGTACTCTATCAACATATTTTGTACTCTAATACATACTTTTCGTTCTTTTTACTCCTGTCAAGTAAAGATTAGAGTGCATGTGCCTAATAAGAACGGACTCTTTTCAATTGACTTCGTTTTGTTACTCTATTTTATTATTTCTAAGAAAGTTTTACATATCTGAGTGGAGAAAAGTATGCCGAATCTAATGGTGAGAAA